CACAGCGAGGGAAGGAGTGGAGCTAGGGCAGGGGCAGGCGTTGCATAGCTGGGGCGAGGTGGGGCACAGTGCAGGCACTGGTGGCTCATCCAGGGGACATGGCTCATGCTGCTGCACACACCCCCAGGGAAAGCATGGGGAGCATGTGCCCCCTGCATGCGTGTGGGGCGAGAGCTGGCTGCTGCCCCCTGCTTGGGGCCAGGAGCTGTGCTGGGCTCTTCCTGGTGGGGGCTGGGCCCAGGTTGCATTTGGGGTAGGTGGGGACAGGGTGGGCAGTGGCAGTGCTGGGAGGGGGGCCTGTGGGGTGGCTATGGTGAATTTTAGGGTGGCTATAGCTGTCCCTCGTAGCCTCCTTCTCAGTACCACCCCACCTGTTGCACCCCTGTACGGCTCGGGGCCAGCCCCCACTAGGAAGAGGCTGGCGAGCGCCCCGAGTGCTCAGCGGTAGCCCACCCTTGCCCTGCTTACAGATCCAGGGGCACATGCCCCCCATCCTCCCCTGGGGGTGCATGCAGTGGCAGGAGCTGCCCACCTGCAGCCCTCAGATGAACTGCAGCTCTGTACCATGTCCTGCCCCGGCTGTGCAGTGCCTGCCCCAGCCCCACTCCCTCCCTCACTGTGGGGGCCTCAATCAGTGCCTCTCCCCCAGCCCCTTCCCTGCAACAGACTTACCGGCCGGACACTGCTCTCTAAGATGCCAGGCTGCATATTGACCATCAGATGGGTATCCGCCTACATGACTGGTTAATAATCGGCCATGAGTGTCATATCACCCGGCCCAAAAAATCTTTATCGATGCACCCCTATTTAAAATAAAAAGTTCAGTTTCTGTCTACTAATATCTTCAATGGAACTTGAAACCCATTTCAAAAGTGATTTCAATGACCTAAAGAAGGGAATGACTAATATTTAAGAATTGAAAGCAGAGCCTGGGCCATTGACATAAAAAAAAAAAAAAAAAAGGTAATTTAGGGTTCTTCTCCTATACTTGGTTCAGTCTGTAATCACTTTTTTCCCCCTTCCTGTTTCTCTTTGAGTGATCACGATACAGTCTCAATAATTATCTTTAAGGTGATGACTGATGAATACATCTCTTTACCCCTGAACTGACTTATGTCCAGACCTGATATTTGGCCTGCTTTGTCCTTATATAACCCATCTGTTAGTTTAAGCTTGATGTGGTGAAACAGAAATCTTATGCCTCCCCACCCGCCTTCCTTTCTTGGTTGCTGTTATCCCGTGTCTCAGGCTAGTAACCTGGTCATTATCTTTGAGCTGGTCCTTTAAGTTTCTCATAACCCTGTCAGTCTGTGTGTGTCCTGTTGTTTATTTTGAAGAGCATCTCTTAAGACCTATTTTTCCTCCCTGTCCAGTTGCTCATCTGTTTTTCATCTTCTGCACTATTGTCGTCTTTCGCCCTGACAGAATCCAATGTTTTCCCAATTCAATATCAATTCAAAATGCTGCTGCAAATATTGTTTTTCAGTCGTGTCATCTCTTTTGACATTGCTGCAGGGGATTTTAGTCCTCTTTGTATCAGAAACAAATTACTGGTCATCACTGTAATACTTTTCATGGGTGACATACTAACCCTATACAGGCATCCCGCATCTTACACGGGGGTTTCGTTCTAAAGGCAGCGTGTAAAGGCGAAAATCGCGTATAGTGAAATCACATATTACCGTGCCAGTGGTGACTGCCTTTGCCTCCAAAACCTGCCGCTGCGGAGCCACCCTTAGAGCTGTGCAGCGGCGGCAGCGGTGCAGTGCGGGGTGGTGGTGGGGATGGCTGCGTCCCGCCTGGCCACCACCACGCCCGGTGGCTGGCCACACAGCTCTGGGCATGGCTTCATGGTGGCGGCAGGAGGTTTTGGAGGCAGAGGCAGTCACCACTGTCAGCGTGGTGGTGGCCGGGCCTCCATGTAAGTGGCAGTGCTGTGTGCAGACTCAAGCCCCGCTCCCCCCTCCCCACCCGCGTATAGTTGAATTTGCGCAAGTTAAATGCTTGTAAGATGCAGGATGCCTGTATATCTTATTTTCTGCAGCTGTTGGTCCCACTTATGTAAGTAATGCTACTCCTTAATCATCTGTTTTTTAAAAATAATTCCATCAAGCTTCTTTATATGCTCCCTTAAGTCACCTGTGAATGGGAGGAGTTTCTTAAATATGTACAAATATCTG